TTTTTTTTTCCTGATCGCGCGAGAACTCCCGCCGAACCGTGAGCGGGTTGTTGGGAGTTGGCGCGAGATCCCGCGCGGTTTTTGCATGGGAGGGGAGAGGTCGGGCCCCCCCCCCTCTCTCTCTCTCTCTCTCTCTCTCTCTCTCTCTCTCTCTCTTTCACGCACGCGCGTTCGGAACGGATGAGGCTCCGCCTCCTCCTCGTCCTCTCGATGTTTCTTCTTAACGGCGACGCCGCTCGTTTCACTCTGTGGAGTGACGGCAACCTCTCTTCCAATGGAAGCCCGGGGAATGAGCGGGCGGACCAATGGCGAGCCGAAGGAGGCGGGAGTCCCCGTGTTGTATAAAAGGGGGGAAGAGGCCGGAAATGGCCGGCAGTTTTGCTGGAGGAGAGAGGCGGCGGGTTGGTTGAGGGGCGAAGTAAAGAAGCGCGAAGGTTGTTTCCACAAGGAGATAAATGGACGTGGCGGTCGGATGTGCGGCTTTTGCAGATTCTAACACAATTTGCAATCTAACGAAGCCCAAGTGTTTCTTCCAAATATAGATTTACCAAATATTATCAAATAATAAAAAGCACAGCTGTGCAAATAGAGGCATTTTTTTGCTCTAATGCAACCACACTGGCCGCTTTTTCGTCCCCTTCTCTGCGGCTTAAAGCTGAAATCTGAATAAAATTTGGGAATAAATGTGTTGAGCATCCTGTGCTTATTGGTAAGTTGAAAAGGTCTTTTTAAAATCCAGTAGTCTTAAAACAGCTTCCTCACTGTCCCACTTTTGACTTCCACCGAATCTTCATGCGGTGCCATGGATTGTACTCGACTTATGACCACAAATGAACCCTCACGTTTCCGTTGCTAAGCGAAAAAATTGAGTTTTGCCCTGCTTTGCAACCTTTCTTGCCGCAGTGGTTAAGTGAATCACTGTAATTCTTAAATGAGTAACACTTTGGTTAAGTGAATCTGTTTTCCCCGCCAGAAGGTCGCAAAAGGGGGTCACGTAACCCTGGAACACTGCGATCGTCATAAGTACGAGTCAGCTGCCAAGCATCCAAATGTAAATCCTGTGTCTATTGTTATGCTGCAATGGTCATAAGTGTGAAAAAAACCTCATCAGTCGCTTTTTCCAGTCCTGTTGTAACTTTGAACGGTCATTAAATGAACTGTTGTAAGTCAAGGACAACCTGCACGTTCTGATTTTGGCAGCTCTTGAAGGCATCATAATATCTGAAATATCTTCCCCAAAGCCTTCATTGCAACTCCTCAACATCTACCCACGCGAAATAAATTATTAATTCTATTAATAGTCTTCAAATAATTGCATTAATAATCCTCAAGCATCCACATCAGATCCTTGGAAATGATTTGATAGGTGGACAAAAATATCAAATCCAGTCTAAATACCTGGCAGACGATGCCAAGAACCATAATATAGACAATATTAAGAAAAATAATACCCTGGTGATCTTGTTATCTTTTAATTGGGGACGGGGGCTAATGGGGGTTCCTTGGTCCTTTTATTCATGTTTTACTTCTATTGTTTTTAATGCCTCAATTGTAAGTCACCCAGAATCACTTTTAGAAGTTGGGCAGCCATATAGGTCCAATGATAATCGATCAGTTGATTGTTTTCACCTATCGGTCTTGTGGCTTGAACGGCTGGACTTATGGAACAATAGAATAGAATAGGAGAGGATAGACTAGACTAGAATAGGAGATGGGATGGAATGGAATAGAGAAGAGTAGAATAAGATAGGATAGGAGATGGAATGGAATGGAATGGAGTAGAGTAGGGAAGAATAGAATACAATAAAACAACAGAACGAATGTAGGAGAGAATAGAACAGAATAGAGTAGAATAGAATAGAAGAGGATAGACTAGAATAGGAGAAGGGATGGAATGGAATAGAGAAGAGTGGGATAGGATAGGATAGGAGATGGAATGGAATGGAGTAGAGTAGGGAAGAATAGAATAGAATAAAACAACAGAACGAATGTAGGAGAGAACAGAATAGAGTAGAATAGAATAGAATTATTTATCGGCCAATTGTGATTGGACACACAAGGAATTGGTCTTTGGTGCAGATGCTTTCAATGCACATGAAGAAAAATAAAATAGAATACATTCATCAAGAATCATAAGANGAAGAAGCTAGAGCATAGGGCAGGGGGTAGTCAACCTTTTTATACCTACCGCCCACTTTTGTATCTCTGTTAGTAGTAAAATTTTCTAACCGCCCACCGGTTCCACAGTAATGGTGATTGAAAAAGTAGGGAACTAACTTTACTTTATAAAATTTATAAAGCAGATTTACAGCAAACCCCCCACTGCCCGCCCACCATGAAAGCTGGAACGCCCACTAGTGGGCAGTAGGGACCAGGTTGACTACCACTGGCATAGGGTGTTCTCTCTTATTATTTGGGAATTTCTTAGCAACTACCAAGCAATTACATCAAATGACACTGATAAGTATAATCATTGTTCACAACTGATACTTTCACTACATGCACTGAATTTATCTCAAATATTCACCTGGGGGTGAAATTATATGGATTCTTGGACAGAAATACCTTCCCTAATATAGGCACCCACCAGATATGTGGATTTAATCTCCAAAATTGCCTAGCCAATGTGATTATTGTTCAGAAATCTAGGAATGTTGGTTCTTTATAAAACACCCCACGTTAAGGAAAATTTATAAATTCACCTGAAAAGTTAGGGTAATAGTGAAGATAACGATGGAAGTAAGATCGTTATTCAAGCTAGAGCTAGTTTTCTAGAACACTTCCTGATAAACACAATACCATACCTGCAGGTTAAAACAGTATATCGGCATGAAAAAGTCTAACTTCCTCAAATGGAAAGCACATCCCATCACCCAGAACTGTGGGATGATTCAGAACATCTCAGAGAAGGTTGCCTCACATAATGATTTGCTGATGTTTATGTTAACTGTGAAACATCAAGTTTTTTGCTTTGGCAGCAAGGTGGCTACATCTATTAAAAATGATTGCAACTTTTACCTCCAGTTGTTTGCTTGCTTCTTCATTTCTCATTATCAAGGATAATTTGGTTCGAAGACTTCGAAAGTGCATATCAATTAACATATTTGCACGTTTTGTTGTTACTTCATTAATAGACTAAAGAATTAAAGAGGGGAAAAAAATCTTGATTAATGTTATTGCAAAGCAGAACATTAGAATTCAACTCCATCTATCCAAAAGGAACTTACCAAAATGATAAGTTGATGGGCCTCAGGATCATTTGTTACAGAAAATGCCCCAACTGCCTTTTTGAAATCTTTGTGTGCAGATTCTTTAGCACACCTAAAACAACAGTTTAGACCCATGATTAGAGATTGTGCTGTTACTTTGTCCACAGAACCTCAACAATAACAAATACAATCCCATATAGTTTAGAGGGTCATGGTGGCCCTACTGTGACCCATTTCAAACTGAATCACATTGAACTGATTCACAAACTGCTTCTGGGAATTAACGTTTATATTTATATATTTTCATTTGGTTTCATTCATGTAACTACATAGCAATTAAATTGCAGCTTAATTCTTCTTTTTCACTGAAAAACATCCATCTTTAAAATATTTTAATTAAATGCAAAGTTGTAATGCACTGAAAAGGACTAAATAGTTCGTAAGTATCTTATTGGGGGGGGGGGAATGAAATATCCATCTTAAGAATATACACAGAATAACGTTGCACTTACATCTGCCTTAAATCTTCAGGTACATCAAGCTTAATCTTATGAAATGTATCCTTGGTTGCAGGTTTGTTAGGATTGACAGATCTCAAACGCTCAATTGTGACAATTTCATTGTAGGTAGCATCACAAGCAGCATATTCTATTACATAAAACTAATGGAAAAGAACAAATTGTCCAAGACACTGTATAAGTAGGTAGTGATGTTTTGAAGATTACATTTCATATTTGAAGGCCCCACTGCTTACTTTTCATTTCAATATTTGTTACAGTAAAACCCTGATTTAATTGACTAATGAAAGAAGGATTTATGAAAGCCGCTACTCCATTAAATCCAAACGGAATTTTACCCATATATGAAATGGCAAATGGGAATAGAGGCACATATATTTCCTGCATTTCACATACATAAAAAAGGGGAAACGGATTTTACAGATACAGATGCACAGAGCATACAGAACGATTTCCCCATTGCATCCAAAGTCTACTAAACTAAAGGTTTCTTAAACTGAAGATTTAACTATACATTTAGAATCTAGTAAAACTAAAAGAGAAACCCACAGCAATTTAAAACAGAGATGCTTGGAAGAAGAGCAAAATATTAAATATGTATATATATATATATATTCCTACCTCACCCTTTATCATTCTCACTTTAGCCAGCCACCAGCAACATGGTTCCTTTTCGTTAGCCCTGGAATAAACCTAAATGAAATCACAGTATAAAACATTGCATTGTTACACAATAAAATGTTGTCACCTGGTGGAGAAATAGCACAGTGCAATCCTAATGCCATCATCACACTATAACATTGGTTTTAAAATGAAACATCCAGCAATAATCCTGATTTGTTACATTTCCCAGGCTCAGATCTCAATAAACCGCTGGTGCGATCAAGTGTTGGTTCAGATCACACGACCATGGCGTTCACTTGGTTTTTGGCTATTCAATTTTCCTTAGGCCAAACGTATCTTCCCAGGATTGTGAAGCTAAAATGAGGAGGGACACCCAAGTACACCACCCCAAGCTCTTCAGAAAGCAGGAAATAAATGAAAAATTAATAAACAGAAAAGGGGTGCGTAGAGTGGCAATAGGTTTTAATCTTCTTTAAATTGCTCCTTGAATCCACAACGCTTAGAGTTCATTTTAACAGGGAAAAACACCCTTTGACTAACTTGGAACAATCTTAATCTGGCAAGTTGTTTTTCTATTGGCCAATCGTACATGGCACGAATGGAAGCTGGCACTTTCCTATTGCTATCCAAGCCTTATAAAGCCTTCCATATAGTTGTACGTTTACTCTGATTTGTAACACTGGGCCACTTCAAAACCATGTCAGTAGGTATATTAAACTTCTTTTCTTTACTTATGCTCAATGAAAACACATGGAAAAAGTGAAATTGTTAGGACTGGCCAGTCCAACCTCCAAATATTCAGTAAAAAAAATGAGATGGTAATATACGCAGAATACTTGCATTGCAATTTTCCAAATCAAATGTTAAAGTTCAAATGATTTTGTCCACTAGAAGTTTGAAGGATTTGCACAAGTTTCAGATTCGTTTAATGTACACAAACTAAATGGGTTTTCTAAACTGGGTACAAAATGTGAACAACGAAGAAATCCCTGTTCAATACAGAATTCACCCATTCCACCAATGGGTGGAAACTAATGAAGGAGAGAAGCAACTTAGAACTAAGGACAAATTTCTTGACAGTTAGAACAATTAACCAGTGGAACAACTTGCCTCTAGAAGTTGTGAATGCTCCAACATTGGAAGCTTTTAAGAAGATGTTGGATTACCATCTGTCTGAAGTGGTTTAGGGTTTCCTGCCTAAGCAGAGGATTGGACTAGAAGACCTCCAAGATGCCTTCCAACTCTTCTATTCTATTCTATTCTATTCTATTTCTATCCATTTTCCACAATTTCTCCATGCTCAGCATAATCGCTGCTTTCTGAGTAAAGCCAGTAGAAGAAATAATATTTAAGAAGCATTCTTGTGAGGCTCCTCATGAGATCAAGGAGAACTTCACTCACTAAGAAGTGCTTGGCCAACTCAGGATGTGAGTTGTATAGAAATTGCCAATGGCAATAGTTAGTACAAGTATTAAGTCCATGCATGCTGTAAAAGAGAACCTGGCCAGACCTCAGAGAAACTGAGGGGAGAGGAGGAAGAATCTCCAACCCTTTGATTTTCATGCAATCATGTCTGGATACAAAAATATACAGACTGTTACAATAAAGAACTTCAACTGGAATTTCTGTCTTTTTTAAAAAAAGAATCTTTTAAAGTACCTTTACATTTATTCTAGAGAATCGTAATCTTGTGTAAGAATTTCAAGCTTCCTTATTAAACATGCTAGCCCATCCCATCTATTGCCATTAGAGGAAACTAAAGTATAATTAAATTAAGGGGCCTTAATATTGACACCACACCTATTTAGGCTGCATGATTCAGGTGCAACTTTTTGTGTAGCCAGTGCTACACTCTGCTCTTAAGTTGTGATGAAGTGTCTGAGTCCAAAACATTATCTAATGCTAAATATTTGTCCCCTGTGATTGAACAAGAGCATCCAAGAAAATGTTTGAGAAAAAAGAAACAGAAAGAAGCACCCCAAGACTATTGCAAATATTTCCTCCTGAAAGGCAAATCTTATTGCCGTTTCACCCATGTCCAAAATGTAAGATTAAAATGGGTCTTACCTCAACTTCATCACTTTCATTTATATCTTTATTGTACCCTGTAGGTGGAGGGAACCTGACATCGTGGAATGGAATCTGTCTCTCTGGCTGCCAGCTAAAATACACAATAAAAAACCCTAAGCTATTAAAAAGTAAAAAGGTGTGAGTAAAACAAAACAAAAAAAGTACGCCAATTCATGAAAGATGGACAATCTAAAATTATTTCCCAGGGACTAAGCACAGGTAACTGGGGGAAACTGAATAAACACACAGCTAGGTCAGCCTTGGATTTAAAGCACTTCCTCAGTAATCACAGCTGATAGACAATGGCATATAAGCGAGTGTATGGAACTCCATACAGTTAAGTGAGTCAGAAGGTGGGGAAAGAATGTAGAACCCCATGCAGTCCTTTGTGCTTAGCACAAATAAAAATGGGACTTGCAACGGGGGAGGATTGTACTTTTCCAGTGCCCAGCAGAGAAATGGTGAAATATATTGTTACAAAAATAAAATAAACCAGAGTATCTTTTCCAAATAAGAACTAAGTTGCAACCTGAGTTTATTATTAAGATTGGGACAGTGTTTTAACAATATAAGGATTTACAGCGCAAGTACTGAAGTCAGCTCTCTTGAAAGGCACAACGTTAATGGAAAATGGCTACAAAGAGAGGAGATTTTCAATGTATGCAGCTCATCAAGATGACTCCACCAGGATGGAGAGGGTAAAAAGGAAATAATTATGCATTTATTCTCAACACTGCCCTGACCAGATTGCTTCCAAGAATCAAAGAAAGGATTTATTTATCAAGCAACCTGATTTAGGAGGAAAAAATATAAATGTGCAAGACTGACATATTCAAAACCTAAATTTGCTCAGCATCACACTTTCAAATGGCTAAATCTTTGTAAGGTCAATTCCAGAATAATACTTACTTATTCTCAAAAGCAACAGTTATTGAATCTTCATGGACATCTTTCACAAATGCCTGAAACAAAGAAATAAGATTTAATCACAAATGATATATTAATCTATTATTGATACCTCTCTAACCACAAGAGGGCCACTTTAAATATTCATTCTAAATATACTATATTGGCAAAGCAAGATGGGGGGGAGGAGAGATCCACCCATATAAACCAATCGGCTACTTATGGGATAGATTAAAGGTGTCAAAAACATATATGTCATGGACATGGATGTACCAGCTGTTACTCTAGGCTGAAAATCTAGGCCTGCTGTAGGTCATAGAACTAAGGTCATCATAAGCAAGTAAAGATTGAAATTGGACTGTGAGGTGCTAGAGAAAAAATACACTCAAATGCACTACATTTTGAGCCAAGTTTAAATCACAAGGCAAAAGATTTTGATGAAATAGCCCTAATATATTTTTCTTCAAAAGTACTAGACTGCCATAGTGGAAGTGTAGGTTTTGCAATGAAACAACTATCACATCCTGATTTCACACAGACTGGGTAAGAAAACAATACAAAATTCACACAGGGAGCTATAATATGAGACTAACTAAATTTTATAATATATATAAAATTTATAATATATTATAAAATTTATAATATATATATTATAAATTTTATAATATATATATATATCATCAAACTAGCTGCTCCAGCACAAAATTTAGTTGTGGAAACCTAAGCAGTAGAAACAAAGAAAGTCATCAGCTGTTTAGTCTGATAGGATTCACTGTCTTGTTAACAAAACACAGCTGTCTTGATACATGTGAACAGAGTTACATGCAAACCGAAACAGAACTGATTTCTCTTTATTTCATTCTTTCATTCAGGGATTCTCAAACTCTGGATTAGGACCCCCAGGGAGATTTCAAGCAGCTGAGTGTTGGCAGATCACACTTATAAACCTTACAAGGACAGTGGGAATGTTGTCAAAACTTCTTCCGGACTTTCTCGCTTTGCCTATATAACCCTCTGGTGGCATCACAAAGTTTGAGAACCTCTGTTTTAATGGAAAATTCAGTAGGTGATGCAATTTTAATCTGAACTGCTTGTTAACTCTGAAACCTAAAAATAAAATAAACCATTAAAAAAGATAGTTATTGCAAATTTAGAGACAAGTCTGAAAACAAGGTTACCAAGATACTATTAGGATAGAAATACCATGCAATGCCCAAGTAACAAATGCATACTACAGAAGGAGCTGTTCTTTATGTTTCAGTTATACTAGGAGTAGAAAACTGTTTTCAATACTGCAACTTGATGTTGTAAAGTATGCACAAATCTAGCAGGTTTAAAATTAAACTTCATCATATTTCTAAAAGAACAAATCAAGATTATCTTGAACTTCTATGCATGAATGCATGCACACACCATAAATGATGCTTTATTCATGCATTCATTTCTTTGTTAACATAATTATTTGCTTATTAGATGAATTGATAAAATATGCTTATGATAGTTTCCATTATTGATTTAATCTGCAAATTATACTTGGACTGGTCAAATTTATTTCCTTTTTTCTTATATCTTAACCCTATGACTTAAGCCTGCTTAATGAGCAACTAAAGATACTTTGAGCTTTACATCTTATGTTAAAGTATGGGAGAATAAGTGAAAAAAATGATCAAAATTTATGAAAAATCACTACAAAAGTATGCACATTAGAATCCAATGCCAGAGCCTTTTTAAAAACTTGATGAGGCTTAGCTGCCTCAGCAGAAAATAAGCTAGATGTGGTTGATAAGACTCAACACAGACTTGAGGGCACATAACTAAAAGTAAGTTTGGCTTCAGTGATCCTTTTTAAAAAGATATGAAGTTTCAACTAACTGAAAGCAATTCAGATGGACCATCACAAAAACTGTTTCCCCTGTTCTTGATAGAATGTAATTTATTTATTTATTTAAATTTACACTGCTGCCCCTCTCAAAGGAACAGATCTGGATGACTAGGGTATTTCATTTATTTTATTCATTATTATAATTATCACTATTCATTCAATTTAGATGCTTCAGATGGATCTTCCCAAGGGTTTTCTCAACCTGCAACCTCCCTCCAGACGACCCCACCCCCCTCTTTTCATCTCCATCAAGATGCTGTATACTTGTGTTCAAGGCAGGACCCTGGAAAGGGGGGGGGGGGTTTCCCCAACACCCTCCCCGTCTACCTGCAAAAATCAAAGTGATTTATCTTGGAAAAAAACCCCCACAATTTGAAAATTCCAGCCCAACAACTTGGGAACCAAGAGTGGGAGCAATGCATCCACTTTCATTATGGACATGGTAAATATGTATTTTATTTATACATGTATACATGTGTGCTTATATATAGATGCTTATATTTGTGCATGTGCATACATACATAGGTATGTGAAATGGTGTAAGTTTTCCTGCCTAAGCAGGGGGCTGGACTAGAAGACCACCAGGGTCCCTTCTATTCTATGTATAAAATGCATGTGGGTATATGCATATCCATGTATATACCTATATATATAATGCATGTGTGCGTGTGTATATGCACACACACACACACATATATATATATACACACACACACACACACATTGTTCACACAAATGTGTGTGTGTGTGTAGGTGCGTGTGTAGATTATGTGTGTGTGTGTGTTGCATTTGTGCTGATAAATAAATAAAGGGAGACTAGTAGAGATCTATTTCAAGCTATTTAGCTCTCATCAGCTAACCATACCCTTACTGGGATTTGAACCTGTGCTGTATTACATATTAAGCAGTTGTGTTAACCACTAAGCCACAAGGTTCTCCTCCTTTATCAGCATGTGCATATATGCATGTGTAGATGCATATGTANATAATAAAAAATCAAATCAAATCAGCTATCTATGGAGATTCTCTGCCATCCACGGTTATCTCAAAGGTGCTTTTTCAAGACTTTCTGTTTTTTCTTTGAAGATGTTTTGCTTCTCACCCAAGGAGCTTCTTCAGTTCTGAGAAAATCTGAAGAAGCTTCTGAGAGAAGCTGAGGAAGCTTCTTGGATGAGAAGCGAAACCCCTTCAGAGAAAAAACCCAGAAAGTCCAGTTGCCTCTTGAAAAAAAAAAACCACCTTTGGGACAATCGGGAAGCAAACTGATTTATAAAGCAGGAAATCTTCTGTTGAAGTAATTTTTCTTATAATCAAAACATACCACAACTTTTCAGATCCGGCTACTTCCTGCTACTTTAAAAAAATAATGTTTTATATAGTTATTAATACAAGGTGGATTTTCTCATGGTTGCTGGGGTTGGGGTGGGGGGCTCCGCAGATGCGATTGTGCTAAATCCTTCTGCTCCTGCGATAAAAACCACAGAATCGCTGCATTTCCACTCCCCCCCCCCCGCAATCTGCTTCAACCCTTTTAAGTTTTGTTGCGAAAAAGAAGAGGCGAGGAGGGGATCCCCAAAGGGCTAAACTTAAAACTGTTTATCCAATTTATTGCTGAGACATCTTTCCTGCCTCTTTCTCTTTTAAGCTGATGGATTCGTTAGCGAGCCACATGGAGGTGCTATAACCATTGTAAATGATCCCTTCGACTTTCTTTATAGTAGTTGAGAATCACCAGAAATTCAGTAAATGCAAGGTGGAAAACCTCTCCTTTCCTTTTTCTTTTTGGACAACATTTCCTTGACATCAACTTGCTTAATTTCCTACTGCATCTATGCATCTATCTGTATGTATCTATGTGTGTGTGTGTGTGTGTGTGTGTGTGTGTGTGTGTATATATATATCCCAGTAAGGGTATGGCTAGCTGATGAGAGCTAAATAGCTTGAAATAGATCTATAGTAGTCTCCCTTTATTTATTTATCAGCACAAATACAATATATATATATATGTGTGTGTGTGTGTGTGTGTGTGTGTGTGTGTGTGTGTGTGTGTGTGTGTGTGTGTGTGTG